TGTACATCAATGGTTCCAAGTCTTCTGACAGCGTCGGATTTGCAGCAGTGTTTCCAGACAGCGTCATGCGAGGGCATTTATTCTCGGCTAGCATTTTTACAGCTGAATTTGTGTGCCATTCTCGTAGCACTTAGCCGTATTGCATTCATGCCTGTGTCACCATTTGTGGTCATTCAGACTCCCTTAGTGCTTTACAGGCTATAAGAAAATTTGATACACCTCATCCCCTGGTTCTTCGTATCCAACTTTGGTTACACTGTATCTCTAGCAAGCGCAAATGTATTGTTTTTTGTTGGGTCCCCAGTCATGTTGACGTACAGGGCAATGAACAGGCAGACACTGTTGTGCAGTCAGCAGTACATGACCTCCCAGTTACATATAGAGGTGTTTCATTTGCATCCATTGGCAACAATGTTGGCCTGATCTGCTACATAACAAATTACATTCTATTAAACCAAGTATAGGTTTCTGCCTGTCTCCTTGTCATCAGTGTTGAGGTTGAGAGACTACTCTCTCCCATCTTCGCATTGGCCACACTTGTCTTACGGGTATCTCATGGAGAGGTGCCCTGTTCCACTCTGTGAGAATTGTCAGGTTCCAGTTTCTGTTAGCCATATTCTGTTGGACTGCCCACTATCTCATTGAGCACACAGAATTTACCTCCAACATCATCACCACTCTACTGTCCTTACTGTACCCTCCCTTCTTGCTGATGGACCCTCCTTTAACCCAGACTCTCCTGTTGACTTTTTGACAGCAACTAATTTGTTGCACAAACTCTGATGATGCCTCTAGTATGCCTCACAGCCCTTTCTACCTCATTCTCTTGCTACCCTCTACTCCTGCACTATTCCCTGCCCCCACTGCACTCCATGACCTAATAATAATTCATCTCCCTCTTGCTACCTAATACCCCTGCACCCTTCCCTGCCCTGCTGCGCTGTATGACCCTTGTAGGTTTAGCACTTCGTTTTGATTTTATATAATAATAATAATTAAACATCACAATATATTTGTTTTATTAGAAGACTGTAGAGAACTTGAATGTGCTTGTGTATTTTAGAATGTTGATCTGTTTCGAAAGTTTGAATTAGACATGCACTGTGCGTCTCCTATTTTGCCATTTTTCCCACATAACAACCTGTGTTTCTTTTTGGGTCACCTTACCTTGGTGGAAGATGGCAAAAAAAACAGGCTTGTAAATGCCTCTTCTGATTTACCTAAAATCTTCAATGCCAATATTTAAATGCATTACAAACTTATGCCACCATCTGCTCCAGTCATATGCAGCAAGTCACAGGGCACAGGAATTATGCAATATGGGAATATCTTTTTCAGATTGCACAGCACCTGACATACTTTTAATTACTGTACAGTCTTACCTCACTTAGTGACGTACTCATTAACTGGTGAAGGGCTCTCTGACCAGTGTGCATACCTAAATAATGTACATGTATATTAGAGCTGATTTTCTCTATTACAGTATACAGTATGCTACTGTATAAACATTTAAAAATATACTAAAAATGTTATAACTGGTGCAGTGGTGACATTAAAAATATCAAAGATGGTTGACACAAACCCACTACCATTATAGTAGGTTCCTTGCTTAGCGACAAATTCGTTTACCGATGTTGTCCTAGGAATGGAACTCTATTGTTAAGTGAGGAGAGGCTGTATTATATTAAAAGACAAGTGCCAGACTTATTCTGGGTGGTATAGAATATGTACTTGCACTTACTTTTGATGTAGGAAAAAACTATTATTATCCAGCAGGTCGCATGGCCCAACTAACATCGTCCTCCTTGCATGAAAGCTTCCCTTTAAGAAAGTAAATGTGTGGCATGACCCATCAAAGACCATCTAATAATGTTGGTCAACAGAATCTGGCATGTAATGGCGTGTCGTCTGATGGTTTACTGAGGAATAGTTCAAATCCGAGTGCACAACTGGTAATTGTGGGAAATGGCATATGCACTGTTTATGGCTGTTGAGGCAGTGTGTATTGTGTGAAGGGTCATGTGGCCAGCTGTGGCATAGAATATTAGTAGTTTTGTGGGAAAGTGGTAAGCCTATAGGGAGTTCAACCTCTGGAGAATGGGAGGTAATCATGTTTAGAGTCAAGGAAAAGAAGGGTATAGTAGATGCAGTTACTAGGATCAAGAGCTCTTCACTGGCATCAAGGCACTAACCCTGAAGAAAAAAATCTTCCAGTGTCATAGAGAGAACTTAAAAACAGCTTTGAATACCCCCCTATCCTCCTTCCCTGCCCTCATCCCTTAAACTAAATGCTACAGCTTTGTAATTTGAGTTCATGTATTTTCTGATAAGGAAGGAAATTATCAGTTTTGTAGAGCACTTTGATTTGGAAGATCATTTAGAGCTCTTGGCAAAAAAAAAAAAAAAAAAAAAATTACAAACCACCAGCACTATCAAAACACCCAACATAGATACAATATGTTCTGTCAGACATAATTAATATAATGCCAGCTTTTCTTTATTGCAGGTATATGTTCAGAATCTGAGAGTGAAGCAACCTGAACTTCCCCGAAAGTTGCTGTGCACTTTTAAAGGTAAGGAGTCCAAGAAGTTTTCCCGCTGCTTCCACGGATGGGGAGAGTTTAAAACTACGAGAGAATAGAGGTCAACACATTTTCACAAAGAAACTATGCCTGATTTACTAAGGTAGATCTGTATAATTATAGGTTGCAGAAGCATCTAAACTGTTTGTAGATCAGCAAATTCAAATGGCTGTGCCTTTTAATTCTTACAATAGGTGCTTATCATTGCCAAAATATTTATCATATTTCTTATGACTTGCTATTCACTTGTTACTGTATGTAGCAGTATCCCAGAATTGATAATTGTAAACCTAAGAATTAAGTATTTCATGCATTAATACTTCATGGATCTGTATTTAAATATTGCACAAGATTAACATAATTGCTTAAAATTTGTGGTCATTCAAGCAATTACAATATTTGTAAACAGTAGCTGGGAAACTGCAGATTAACTTCATTATTATATTTACAGTTGATCTGGTTTAGCATATTGTATATACGTACTACATTTATTATATTCACAAAAATGCTCTCATGGGTTTGTTAATGTTAACTAGATTTGGTTGAAATATGCATATATATATGCAGAGCAAAATTTTTTATTGAAAGCTTCATCTATACATTTTTGAATCGATACAAAATGACACGTACAAGAATATTAATATTACTATGAGGTCAAGCATGAGCAAATGAGTTGTTGGGAGGGGACATGTGAGATCACTGTGAGCAGTGAGTGATACTGTATTGTGTGTAGCCTGAGTAGGCTAGGGAGCACTGCAGGGTATTACATCTTTATGCATGGGACCATTTATGGATTGTTCTTGTAGAAGAATAATTAAGAATTAGAATAGCTTAGAAGCATTTTTGTCATGTTTTGTCTGTCTCCTAGTGCTAACTTAGCATCTTCCTTAACATCAGGAGTTCCTGTAACCTAATTGCAAGACTGTAAGATGTCTTGCCCACACTTTTCTGTTAGATTCTGCAAGGTACGGTGTAAACTCATGCACTGCCATCATCCAAGTGGTTGAACTGTAGTCTGGTAAGGTCTCAAATGGTGCTCATTTTATGACAGCAACTCCTGTGTTACTCCTAGAGTTGATGCAGTTTATTCCAGTGTAATGTAATGGGATGACAAGGCTAATTTTTTTTTTTTTTCATTCTGCGTGGTGACTACTGTGTGTGCTTATTTTCAGCAATTTCTGATGTGCATGTGAAACATAAGCATCATTGGTTTTAAGAAACATTCTTTAAAGATATTTGGAGCTGCAATTCGTGTTGATTTCAGGAAAAAGCCCATGAGTGTGTCTTGCTTAGCAGTTAGGCCACTGTGTGAAAAGTAATATGCAAGATCATTTTTGTTTGCAACTTTTCCAAGAGTAGCTCAGAGAGTTGCAGTCATGACATAAGAGCACCATTAAAGGCCTTGCTAGATATAAATCTTGTACCCTAACAGCACAGATGTCTACACCATATCTTGCCAAACCTGTGGCAGGACATGTATAGGCGAGATGTTCTAGTCTGGTAGCAAGAAAACAGAACACCACTATGTTTGTAGAACATGAGTAATGTCTATGTTAGATGTACATTTTTGTCCATGAATAACATTGTGGAAATAAGCTTAGTACTTAGGGAAAAAACATGCAAAACAAAAATGCCTGGAAGCTGCCCATGATCTGCACACAGTAGTATTGAGAAGAGCGAGAATAGCTGAACCTATACTACAAAAACAAAATGTATCTACAAATAGTCCCATGCACAAAAATGAGGCATGTACCCAATAGGCCTCCTGCAGCACTCGCTTTACCCAGTAGGTGTCCAGCAGTGCTTACCCACCCTCCTCATCATGTACTAATCTCGCATTCGGCCTCATACTGGTTTAATAAATCTTGCCATGTGCCATTTTGTGTCGACTTGAAAAACCCAGTTATGCAGGTAGAGTATTTGTTAATTTCTGCTGTTGTTTTGGCTACATGCCATCTCTCCAATTTTAGATTTAATAAAATTATACTGTATTCACAAAGATTCAATAAAAATTTATTTATTTTAATAATTCATTTTACACTGAGTGCATCAATATTACATACATAGGCATTGCATAACCTCTACAGGTTTAGTGTGAATATAATTCATGGATTAGCACTAAATCCATAAGATAATATGTAGTGGGTGAGGACCAGGAGGTAATCAGATTTGATCTGAGAGAGAGGAAAGACTTTCACCAGCATGAAGGGGAGACCAATTTTAAGTGGATAATGGATTTGATTTCATTCATGGGAGGGAGGGGTTGGAAACACCAAACCTAGAGGAGTTAGTGCCTGGAGACTGGGAGGCAAATTTGGTTTGATCCAAGGGGACAAGTCAAGATTCTTTGGACCATGAGCCCCTCACTGACATCAAGCAATCTCCCTTGAGGGATGAATTTAATAATTAAACTGCATATTCTGAGTTAATAGGTTTATTTTCACTCTGCTTCTATTAGTTGTACATACGAATCACTATGATATCAAGGCAGGGTAGAGTTTGTGGGTTGGTGGCTGAAGTAACTGGGAAAGGGAAAGGTGAGAAAGGAAGGACAATTCCTCCTGAATGTCAGGAGTATTAAGGATTTGGGGAAGCCATCAATAATGAGGAATCTTTAGACTTTTCATTGAAGTCATCCTGGACGACTAGTTTTCCACTAATATTTGAGGATCTCCTTGGTAATACTCATGTTGTTTGATGAACTTGCATTTGACATGCACATTTACTGAAAAAATGTTCTTAAAATGCTGTGCCTCTACACTTAATTGGCTTACAGCTAACAGAATACAAAGAACTTTGTACCTCATAAAATTCACCAAAAAACTTGAATATTTATCAAGGGTATCACCCACAATTTTAATATAACTATTATAATCTTCTGGATAAACCAATCCACTATCATAGAACAACACTACAACTGTGCAAATCCATTTCTCCCTCGAGTTATGCTTGGCACCTCAGCCTGGTATCTAGCCCACATGCTTGCCAGGTGGAAACACTACTAACAAGTATAAAACCCATCTTATCAGATATTTGAACCAACTACCAGCAAGTAAAATCAATACAGTTTCTCAAAATCTTTCAAGTTGTAAAGATAAGAGCTCTTGATAGGACCCAGCACGACTGGGTACTACTGGCCAGACAACAGGATTATTTTTCTTCAACAATCTATGTGAAAATGGGTTGCACATCCTCTCGTTCCAGCAGTATTGTAATGTTATTGCCTTGTCTATAAATAGCTTCACAGCATAATAAAGGTCAAAAAAAAAAAAAAAAGCACACATAATCAAACACACCATATTTCCTTGAAACACTGGGGCTGTCATTGCTTTGAATTTCTCTCTCTATAAACAAAACCTAGAACAAGATCATCTTATGATTCATTTATAAGCAAGACAAAACTGGCTAGCAATCAGGAGTTGCAATACTTGGCTACATTTGGTAAATGACATACCAAAAGCATTAAGCAAATATGGATATCATAGGTCTAATGGGTAAGAAATTGAAACTGGGAACATATAAAATAAAGTGTGTTTCACAATTATTTTGTCAGGACACAAAGAATGATACAGGCTATACTATTTCCTATCACAGGAGAGAAAAAACTAAAATAAGAGTGTTTCTAGAGAGGATCAGTTTTTTTTTTTGTTTTTACAGAAGCTAACACTGATGGAGCCTTTACATTCTTCATATATTTAATAGATTCTTTGGTAACCAATTTTTAAGAAATCAAACATAAGGTGCATAAATGGAACAAGTTTGTGTATTTATTTAAATCTGTAATAGGTATTTGTTGTATAGCTTACAACTGTTGCAAACTGGAACGAATTACCTCTTCTATAGTACAGGCATAGAATTTGTTTTTTACAAGTCCCTACAAAACTTTCATCACTATTTCACCTATTGGCTCCATTTGCACAGAAAGGAAATGACAATATAATGACAATTGTTGTGGCATAGGCTGTAATAACCCAGTGACACCCAGAGTCATCATAAGTTGCAATCTTCTCATATACAAATATTAAAATATAATTGTTTGTCCAATTTAAGAATACTCAGCCCCCACAAGTTTATTCTGAATAATAACAATGTTTCTTGTTATAGTAAACAATTTAATATTAGTATAAATATTTTCAATTCATATTTGTTACAGTATAGATAATATAATAGAAATATATGCAAAAATACTAAGAGGTTTTATCTGATTGCTGCATGTGATGATTCCAGGATATTCATATAAACTATTGCCACCTGCCACATTTGAGAAAATAACTAACCAGTAACTATATTTACACCATTTTTTCTGACTATGGCATTATCACTTGCCGTATGTGAATGCCACCATAGAGGACTCTGACACTTAACAACTAAATTAAGACCCTTCACTGCCACAACAAAGGGTGGAATCATTGTAACATTTGAAGATGACAATTAAAATATAAATATTCCCCACAAGTAGGAGCTAACATTTTGATGCGACATGTTAATTCTGAAAAATCTAGTTCTACATTTGTTCTTTATGTACAAGAAAGAAAAGGAAGTGTTCCTTCTAACACTTCTTTTAATATGACACTGTCCCTCTCCATACAAGTATAGCATTATATCATTTACAAACCATATATAGCCTCTCAGACAAAGAAAAAATAAGGGAGTTCCATCTTATACTATACTACTCATCTTTAATACAAAGTTTCTAGAGAAACAATCTCTGCTCTCACAGGCAGAGTTAAACACTCGAGATACTGTACATATATGGCAGAGGTTTCACTACTCCCACACATTTCACCAATGTACATAAAAATAAAAATTAAAATGCAATTATTTTTCAATTTAATTTTTTGAACAATTAATTCTCCATGTGGCCCATTATCAATGATCCCCAAATATTTATAATAATTTTATCAAACTAATGTTCACATCACCTAAAAACTTGTACTGCATTATACATGGAAAAAATAACATTAATTTCATTCATTCCACTGTGACACTTGGTAGCGAGGCCATGAGGCCAAACTTATTCTGAAAAGTAATGAAGTACTGACATTTAATATGGCTATGCCCTATTATATACCATTCATATTATCATTTTACACAATAAACATGTCAACTAAGTTGATAAAAAACTAATCAGTTGTAGGCATGAAGAAAAGCCAAGTAATATTGTGTACATGCATGTCAGCATTTCTTTAAATGGCTGTCACTTTTATCAAAACTTAAAATGCACTTTAAACAGAACATTTGTTAAACAGTCATTAACTACTTCAGAGCAACTAATATGCATTAAAACGTCATTCAAACATTTACTAATTTGCACGAGTCGCCTCTGAAGCAACCTCCATAATCTCTTCAGGTACATGACAATAGTCTCAATGGTGTGACACACTTACACCTAGGCACAGCTGATCCTTGGAACCTCTATTCTCTCACATTGCTGTGATAAGACATGTCATTTGATGTCCACTAATGGAGTACATGGCCTCCCTGCCAAGAGCTGTCAAATTATGGCATATAACAGGCACTACAGTAGTATCCACTTCACAAGTCTTTCAGTCTTGCACCATTACCAGATGTCTAGATTGTTTATAACTTTAAACAAATCATTTTTTAATAATCCCTGAAGGAACATCTCAAACTTCACTATTTTCCCAGTAACAGACTCTAGGGTCTCTATGTATCAGAGATGCAAGTAATTATCTTCTTTAAACCATAACTTGGGTTAACTCACAGCTTCTAATGAACTAATGGATTTCATCCTGAGAACCACCTGTCTGACTTCATTACGGGATCACTATTTTTAGTTGGCTGAGAACTATGACTTGTGTTGCTGGGCGACCACTGCCTAGCTGGCTTAAGAACATTTGACTGTCATGGGGTTGGGGAGACAGGGTAGAGCCAGAGTTACTCATCTTCATAAGGAGGTCCATCCCCATCCATCCTGGGTCGTTTTAGAAGTGGTTCGTTATGTGAGGCAGCCATAACAACACCCTCTGCCTCCACAACCTCTTCTATATACTCAGTAGTATGGGGAGCAGCAGTCATAGTACCTACCATCACTGCTGTTCCAGTGCTAGTACTACTGTTTCTCATATTACTGCTCACACTAGGACCAGTTATAATTTGTCCAGCTGTAGTTGCTGTAGTCACACGTTTAACCTCGCCATTCACAGTCACATATCCTCCACTGAAACAAAAAATATATTATATAAATCTAAATGGTGTAAAACTTAAGTAAAATATACATCTAACACAAACCAGGATGAATCCTACTAAGTTTCTGAACAAAGAACTAGGTCACAGTTTATTTATTTATTTATTATCACACTGGCCGATTCCCACCAAGGCAGGGTGGCCCGAAAAAGAAAAACTTTCACCATCATTCACTCCATCACTGTCTTGCCAGAAGGGTGCTTTACACTACAGTTTTTGAACTGCAACATTAACACCCCTCCTTCAGAGTGCAGGCACTGTACTTCCCATCTCCAGGACTCAAGTCCGGCCTGCCGGTTTCCCTGAACCCCTTCATAAATGTTACTTTGCTCACACTCCAACAGCACGTCAAGTATTAAAAACCATTTGTCTCCATTCACTCCTATCAAACACGCTCACACATGCCTGCTGGAAGTCCAAGCCCCTCGCACACAAAACCTCCTTTACCCCCTCCCTCCAACCTTTCCTTGGCCGACCCCTACCCCGCCTTCCTTCCACTACAGACTGATACACTCTTGAAGTCACTCTGTTTCGCTCGATTCTCTCTACATGTCCGAACCACCTCAACAACCCTTCCTCAGCCCTCTGGACAACAGTTTTGGTAATCCCGCACCTCCTCCTAACTTCCAAACTACGAATTCTCTGCATTATATTCACACCACACATTGCCCTCAGACATGACATCTCCACTGCCTCCAGCCTTATCCTCGCTGCAGCATTCATCACCCATGCTTCACACCCATATAAGAGCGTTGGTAAAACTATACTCTCATACATTCCCCTCTTTGCCTCCAAGGACAAAGTTCTTTGTCTCCACAGACTCCTAAGTGCACCACTCACCCTTTTCCCCTCATCAATTCTATGATTCACCTCATCTTTCATAGACCCATCCGCTGACACGTCCACTCCCAAATATCTGAATACATTCACCTCCTCCATACTCTCTCCCTCCAATCTGATATCCAATCTTACATCACCTAATCTTTTTGTTATCCTCATAACCTTACTCTTTCCTGTATTCACTTTTAATTTTCTTCTTTTGCACACCCTACCAAATTCATCCACCAATCTCTGCAACTTCTCTTCAGAATCTCCCAAGAGCACAGTGTCATCAGCAAAAAGCAACTGTGACAACTCCCACTTTATGTTTGATTCTTTATCTTTTAACTCCACGCCTCTTGTCAAGACCCTCGCATTTACTTCTCTTACAACCCCATCTATAAATATATTATACAACCACGGTGACATCACACATCCTTGTCTAAGGCCTACTTTTACTGGGAAATCATTTCCCTCTTTCCTACATACTCTAACTTGAGCCTCACTATCCTCGTAAAAACTCTTCACTGCTTTCAGTAACCTACCTCCTACACCATACACCTGCAACATCTGCCACATTGCCCCCCTATCCACCCTGTCACAGTTATAGCCTTTTAAACATGTGTACACAATATCTAACTCTGCCTTACATACACTGTCTTTACTGGAAACATATTTTTGTTCACCCAATTGTAATAAATGTTAAAATGTTTCTTTTCTGTGTGCATACCAGCTTGAAAAATCAATTTTTTTATGATTTTAATCACTCCCTAATTCCTTAACCCTTTCAGGGTCCATGTCCTAGATCTACGGCTCTGAAGTCAGGTTTCAAACTGTAGATCTACGCCATGAACTCAGCTCACTCAGATAACCTGTGAGCAGTAAATTTGGGCCTAGATACGAGAGAACACATCTATGTGGTAAGTGTGCACCACATAAAACAAATCCTGCAGCACTCAGTCCATAATGAGAGAAAAACAAAACTGCAACCGTAATTCTGGATTAAAACAGCAACACTGTGGTGTTTTTCGTATGTTTTTTACAGTTGTATTCGCAATGTTTTGGTCTCATTTGATAGAATGGAATACATATAAATTACAGGAATAGAGATGATTTTGATTCGTTTTAGTAGTGAAAATGGCTTGAAACTGAGCTCAAAGTAGCAGAAATGTTCAATTTTTGCCAATGTTGAAGAGTAAACAAATGTCGTCACGAGTCTAATACACGTCAGCTGGTGGATCTAAAATACGTTCATAAATGTGCTGATATTGTATGTAGTAGGGTAGTAGACAGCAACCACCCAGGGGGGTACTACCATTCTGCCAAGCGAGTGTAAAATGAAAGCCTGTAATTGGTTTACATGATGGTAGGATTGCTGGTGTCTTTTGTGTCTCATAAATATGCAAGATTACAGGTACATCTTGCTACTTCTACTTACACTTAGGCAACACTACTCGTTTATTTATACACACTCATCTGGTTTTCTTGGATTTTAACTTGGTTCTTGTTCCAATTACTTTTCCTTTTATATCCATGGGGAAGTGGAATAAGAATCTTTCCTCCGTAAGCCATGTGTGTTGTAAAAGTCAACTAAAATGCCGGGAACAATGGGCTAGTAAACCCTTATCCTGTAATAATTACTAAAAAGAATGAGAAGAAAATTGTCAAAGTGGGAAGTCTGAATGAGCGTGGATGTTGTGCGAATGATAAGAAAGAGATGATTGTGGATGTTATGAATGAGAAGAAGCTGGATGTCCTGGCTTTAAGTGAAACAAAGCTGAAGGGAGTGGGTGAGTTTCAGTGGAGAGGAATTAATGGGATTAGGTCAGGAGTTTCTAATAGAGTTAGAGCTAAAGAAGGAGTAGCAATAATGTTGAAGGATAAGCTATGGCAGGAAAAGAGGGACTATAAATGTATTAATTCAAGGATTATGTGGAGTAAAATAAAGGTTGGATGTGAAAAGTGGGTTATAGTAAGTGTATATGCACCTGGGGAAGACAGAAGTATAGAGGAGAGAGAGAGATTTTGGGAAATGTTGAGTGAATGCATGGGGAATTTTGAACCAAGTGTGAGAGTACTTGTGGTTGGGGATTTTAATGCTAAAGTGGGTAAAAATGTTGTGGAGGTAGTAATAGGTAAATTTGTGGTGCCAGGGGTAAATGAAAATGGGGAGCCTTTAATTGAGCTATGTATAGAAAGAGGTTTGGTAATAAGTAATACATATTTTATGAAAAAGAGGATAAATAAATATACAAGGTATGATGTAGCACGTAATGAAAGTAGTTTGTTAGATTATGTATTGGTGGATAAAAGGTTGATGAGTAGGCTCCAGGATGTACACATTTATAGAGGGGCAACTGATATATCGGATCATTATCTAGTTGTAGCTACAGTTAGAGTAAGAGGTAGATGGGATAAGAGGAAAATGGCAACACGTGAGAGGGAGGTGAAAGTGTATACACTAAGGGAGGAGGAAGTTTGGGTGAAATATAAGCAACTATTGGCAGAAAGGTGGGCTGGTGCAGGTATGAGTAGTGAGGGAGGGGGGGGGGGGGTTGAAGAGAGTTTGAATAGTTTTAAAAATGCAGTATTAGATAGTGGGGCAGAAGTTTGTGGTTATAGGAGGGTGGGTGCAGGAGGAAAGAGGAGTGATTGGTGGAATGATGAAGTAAAGGGTGTGATAAAAGAGAAAAAGTTAGCTTATGAGAGGTATTTACAAAGAAGTGCTATAAGAAGAGAAGAGTATATGGAGAGTAAAAGATAGGTGAAGAGAGTGATGATAGAGTGGGAGAGGTACTGTCAAGAAATTTTAATGAAAATAAGAAAAAATTTTGGAGTTAAGAAAGCTAGGGAACAAATGGATTTGTCAGTTAAAAACAGAGCTGGGGTGGTAGTAGATGGGGAAATGGAGGTTTTGGGTAGATGGCGAGAATATTTTGAGGAACTTTTAAATGTCGATCAAGAAAGGGAGGCAGTTATTTCATGCACTGGCCAAGGAGGTATACCATCTTTTAGAAGTGAAGAAGAGCAGGATGTAAGTGTGGGGGAGGTGCATGAGGCATTACGTAGAATGAAAGGGGGTAAAGCAGCTGGAACTGACGGGATCATGACAGAAATGTTAAAAACAGGGGGAACACAGTGTTGGAATGGTTAGTATTTTTGTTTAATAAATGTCACCTGCCTCGTGGAACGCGACGAAAAAAAAAAAAAAAAAAAATGAAAGAGGGGAAGGTACCTAGGGATTGGCAGTGTGTGTGTGTAGTCCCTTTATATAAAGGGAAGGGGGACAAAAGTGATTGTAAAAATTATAGAGGAATAAGTTTACTGAATATACCAGGAAAAGTGTACGGAAGGGTTATTATTGAAAGAATTAGAGGTAAGACAGAATATAGAATTGCAGATGAGCAAGCAGGTTTTAGAGTGGGTAGGGGATGTGTAGATCAAGTGTTTACATTGAAGCATGTATGTGAGCAGCATTTATGGATTTAGAAAAGGCATACAATAGAATGGATAGGGAAGCAATGTGGCAGATGTTACAAGTATATGGAATAGGTGGCAAGTTACTAAATGCTGTAAAGAGTTTTTATGAGGATAGTGAGGCTCAGGTTAGGGTGTGTAGAAGGGAGAGAGACTATTTCCGGGTAAAAGTAGGTCTTAGACAGGGATGTGTAATGCCACCATGGTTGTTTAATATATTTATAGATGGGGTTGTAAAAGAAGTAAATGCTAAGGTGTTCGGGAGAGGGGTGGGGAATTAAATACAAAATGGGAAGTGTCACAGTTACTTTTTGCTGATAATACTGTGCTTATGGGAGATTCTAAAGAAAAATTGCAAAGGATAGTGGACGAATTTGGGAGTGTGTGTAAAGGTAGAAAGTTGAAAGTGAACATAGAAAAGAGTAAGGTGATGAAAGTATCAAACGATTTAGATAAATAAAAATTGGATATCAAATTGGGGAGGAGGAGTATGGAAGAAGTGAATGTTTTCAGGTATTTGATAGTGATGGTAGTAGACGGTGCTAGTAGTGATAGTGGTAGATGGTGGTAGCAGTTGTGATAGTGGTAGAGGGTGGTAGTGGTTGTGATAGAGGTAGACAGTGGTAGTGATGGTGGTAGAAGGTGGTAGCAGTTTGTGATAGTGGTAAAAGGTGGTAG